ATAGATAGATAGAGAGAGAGAGAGAGAAAGAGATACGACACGAGTCATATTCGGCTGTGAACCGTCCTGGAATCGTCAAGGTCGCGAACACGGATGAATAAGTTTCGTAACACGTGATGAGAACAGTGACGCATCCCTCGCGGACATGCCCACACAGCGCTCAGTGCTCCCGTAGCTAGCGACCGCCTGCACGCGTCTGACTGCTGTCACCTGCCTCTTCAGGACGAGCCGACATCATGCATGCTAGAGTACTCTGCGCAGTGACGGTTACCTTTGCGCTGATCGCATCGGTAGCAGGCTACCCGGACGGTGCACCAGATACGGCGTGCGATAACTTGCAGCCGAAACACGGCACGAACGCGCAGACTAGCTCGCCGCCGTTCAGCATTGACGTCGACTCCACAAGCTATGCCGCAGACCAGATGCTGGCTGGTGAGTGAGAGCGTACTGTGTGTGTCCGACAATCTCGGTGCACGCGTGGTTAGGCCAGTCCGTGCAGAATGTTATTATGTACAGCGCATTTACGTGCTATACATCACTCGCTCTACGTCAATAAACAACACAAACAACAAACATTGTTAAATATTGTTGCTTGTGCGAGATGTTAGATCGATATGTTAGCTTACTAACCAACAGTGTGAAAGTGTAAAGGTGCAACGTAAATCCAATTTGTAACTGTATGACTACCTACACATTCTTATGCATGCAACCCAAATATTTTTATTTTTGAAATTCGTCATCTTGCATGTACCTGATATGCATTCCATTCGAAATGTCCATGTCTTCTTGCATAGAACCGCATTTTTTTACGCTAAATCGTATTTTTTACGCTAAATCGCCAATTCTTTTTGTATAGTTACCGTGAGAGGTGGCCCTCGATTTGAAGGACTGATGTTGCAAGCACAAGACAGTAACAACGATCCGGTTGGATCATTTACCTCGGTTCCGAACGGACTAAAGACTTTGCAATGCGGCGGCACTACGGACACGGTGACACAGTCCTCAAAGTCTAGGAAAACGACAAAGACTGTTACGTTCAGGGCACCCTCCTCGGACGTCGGAAATATTAAATTCGTGTAAGTTGAAATCTCTTTAATAGAGATAAACTATCTCTTTCATTTTTACGCTGCCGTTATTCGTCCTCCCCCTTCTCCGCCGCCGCCGCCGCCTTCTTCTCTTGCTCTTCATCCTTCTCATTTTCTCTCTCTTTTTCTCTATTTTCCGCCCTCTCTTTTTTGATCTTTCTCGTTATCGCTCTCCTATCACGCCACCCTTTCTCTGGGTCTTATCCTCGATTTCCCCGTCTCTCACTTCCTTTCTGTTTCTGTCCATCCCTCGCGTATCTTACTTTATTTATATCTTACAATCTTACATGAAAATCTTCTTTATCAATACATGAATCTACGATCGTATAATAACCGTATATATTTCAAACAGATCACTGTGTACGCACGCCGATACATCACTGGTCGTACGGATCACGTATTACATCACGTATAAATAGACTGGATATAGTTTTCCTAGTAAATTCATGATTAGGAATCAAGGGACTCTGGAAAAGTGTCGCCAACGTCAGAATCTAACAAATGCACACACGAAAAACGTTACTGCGGCATTACGAACAACGTAAACCTTAATTGGGATTCTTCATAAAGCTGATGACGCGTGCTCAGCATATATGCCTAATCTGTAATCATTATGAACATGGATCACACAATGTTTCGTATATTAGATACTGCAAGATTATTTTCGAGTCGGGGAATTAACACGTTCAACCAGAGGACAGGGTAACATGGAGCGGTGCGTGTTTCCTTCCTGAGACGCAATTCATGGATGCGTCGATAATGTTTCATTGTGTTTCGTCTTATCACACAGTGCCACCGTGGTGCAGTCCTATTCCAAATACTGGATGGTAGTGTCTGACTGCATCTCTGGACCAAGCGGGACATCAACAGGTTGCGGCGGAAGCAGCAACGGTGGCGGGGGTGGAGCCGACGGGCAATCAAATGTCGGGAATGGTGATGACGACGACGACGACGATGAAGACGACAGTGACAGTGACAACAGTGACATCGACAGTGACTCCGATGATGACTAATAATTCATCGCCATGACAACGTCCCAGCACAACGAATACCTTTGTATCGCAAAATCGAATCGTGCACCGAAAACGTATCGAAGAAAAACATACCCAGAAGTGAGGAATAGAATATTGCGCATAATAACAATGACAAGGGTAAAAAAAATCGTAGTCGAAAAAAAAGTTGTTGTCAATTTTTATATAGAGTACATAGTTGTCATTTGTGATTGATGTACACGATTTGATTTATTAATAATTACGAGAGTTATATTGAAAGCATGATATAACGCGGTTTAGCATTTAGCGATTAGATTCTGTTGGGAATATTTCTTCTCCGTGTGAGAATATGCTGACTTTAATGACGTCAACGTAAAAATCTTTACACAAATCCCAGATTGTTTAGGCTCTAGCTGTCTAGTGAATAAAAATGGTGTTGGATTTTGACATTTCCGAAACGAGATTCATTGCTCATACATTTCATCTATTATTTCATTTGTTTCCTGTTTTTATCGTTCTGTTACTTTCTCTTCTGGCTACACTCGCTCTCATTAACTGCACTGGTGAACAGCAAGCGAGAGGAACTCAAAGCATGAGAAGGGAGTTTGATCCTGTCGTGTAATTGCGCCATCGCGCCATTTTTATGTTTGAAACGGGATCCAAATACAATGCTGAAAAATCTCAAAAACAATCTCACAACAGTTTCAAGTGAAGGTTGGAATTTGAATCTGTAGTCATTAAGAATGATTAAACTGTATGTCGTGTATGCGCCGAAACTCTCTTTCGAACGAATATTTTTAATTAACACTTGTTCGATGCTTACTCAGGCCTGCTGCCCATGGACGCCCTCTACTGTTGTACACCATCTATAGAGATCAGTGGCATCGACACACACGCGCGCGAACCTACGCCCACGCGCACACGCATACGCCCACGCGAGAATACATACTTACGTACGCACGCACGCGTGTACGCACACACGCATGCGCACGCGAACACTGCGCCCACGCGAGAATAGATACACACGTACGCACGCACGCGTGCACGCACGCACGCACGCATGCGCACGCGAACACTGCGCCCACGCGAGAATATATACACACGTACGCACGCACGCGTGCACGCACGCACGCATGCGCACGCGAACACTGCGCCCACGCGAGAATAGATACACACGTACGCACGCACGCGTGCACGCACGCACGCACGCATGCGCACGCGAACACTGCGCCCACGCGAGAATAGATACACACGTACGCACGCACGCGTGCACGCACACACGCATGCGCACACATACACACATACACACCGCGTTGCACGCACGCAGCAACCAGCGCACGCGAACACTGCGCCCCACGCTAGAATATATACACACGTACCACTCAACGCGTGCACGCACGCACGCAGCCATGCGCACGGCGAACACTGCGCCACCGAGAAAATAATCAGCACACGTACACAAACGCACGCGTGCACGCAACGCAACACTGCGCGCCACGTAAAAATAAGATACGCCACGCACGCGTCACGCACGCCTCCCCCAAAACCGGCCCAAAAAAAAAAAATGCCCCGGCCACGCCGAACACTGCGCCCACGCGAGAATAGATACACACCGTACGCACGCACGCGTGCACGCACACAACAGCATGCGCACGCGAACACTGCGCCCACCGAGAATAGATACACACGTACAGCACGCACGCGTGCACGCACGCACGCACGCATGCGCTACGCGAACACTGCGCCACGCGAGAATATATACACACGTACACAGCGCACGCGTGCACGCTACGCGAACACTGCGCCCACGCGAGAATAGATACACACGTACGCACGCACGCGTGCACGCACGCACGCATGCGCACGCGAACACTGCGCCCACGCGAGAATACATACACAGGTATACGCACGCACGTGGGCACGCATGCAAATACATGTACTGGACGCGGAATGTGACCTTCGCTAGCTCGCACACAGTGCCTAGACGTCTTGGTTCACGCTACGGCCAAATGCTGTTACCATCGTCAAGTCACTCCAAGTCACGATAGATAAGTATTTTGCATGTCACACACATACACACACGCGCACGCACGCACAAACGCACGCACGCACGCACGCACGCACGCACGCACGCACACACACACACACACACACACACACACACACACAGAGAGAGACGCGCGCGCTAACAATTACATATCTAAGGAGCAGAGAACAACGAACACAAATGTCGCCTTTCTACATGGCGCTCAAAACAAAGATTGCGGAGCTGAGAGGCGGGGGAGCATAGGGTGTAGAGAGGGAAGCGGAGGAACCATTAAAATATTAATTCATTCACTATTTTGCACAGTTCGCTGTTTTTGCCCCCCCCCCCTGTTATAAAATCCTGGCTACGCCACTGGCGAACCCATGTATGTAGGAGATAAGTGGTTTCCCCTCCCCACGCCAGGTAAATCGCGAGTGTAACGGGCGTGCCTATACTACCTTCACCTCGTGTTCCCCTGGTCGCCCATGCGAGTGTGAGAACCTGCAATCGTTTGTTTGCTCAGCGAGTAACAGCCTCTCTCCAACTTGGCCACGGAAATGCCGCTCACCTTGAACAGCAGCGATAGCAGTACACAGCGCTATCATAATGCGATATAATACGAAAAATAATATGGCAAATGGAAAAGACGCCACAAAGCTCTTGTCTCTATGGCGGCCGGACTGGGTAAACGCGTAACCACAACCGGTGTTCTTCTTCATTTTGAAGGTGACGAGGTCTCCGGTAATAGTTCAGGATTTGGGCAGTTCCACCCTGCGGGGTGCGCGGTGGGCTACGAGCCAGCTTTTGGACTTATGAATTTATTTGTGTGATCGCTTTTCCTTCGAGCGGAAATACAACACACCGAATTGGGTTTGGAAATTAATGCAAGTATACAATTAATACGAAGCAAGGAATACACAACGCAAGTCTTAGGACAGTAATACGATCACGAGCCACACACAGTCGGGTGTCTCCCGACGTATCTACACGAACTGAATCCTAACGCGACTAGACGCGACTAGGTTTTATCTTATGTTATTACAATAATATCAGGAGTGAATAATAGAGACTCCTGAGATGACTGAAATGAGATCTGAGACCAGATTGCTGATGATGATAACTGAGATGATATAACTGAGATATGATAACTGAGATCAGAGACTGACTGAGATAATCATGCAGGAGTGAATAATAATCTCTATTATTTACCCCTGATAGTATCAATGGCGCGCACTAGCATCTGGTTGGGCCACGCCAGCAGACAGTAAAGCCCGGCGCACATTGCCGAACATTTTGCTCAAAAACATTATCGTAGCAATGTTCCATGATATGTTCGCAATGTACGGTGAAAAAAGTCGCCGAACATTTTGCTCAAAAACATTATCGTAGCAATGTTCCATGAAATGTTAGGCAATGTGCGGTGAAAAAAGTCGCCGAACATTTGTTCCGAACAATGTTTCTATAGATCGGAAATGTTTGATATCTCGAACATTGTTCGTCGAATGTTCGTCAATGTGCGCTGAATGTCAAAGAATTCTAGGAACATTTGTAAATGCCTATCACGCCGATTGGCTACACGCCGATCACGTGACTCTTTACAACACAGCTACTAGAGGGCGCCACGAGGTTGTTCGCTGCAAAATGTTCGGCAATGTGCGCTGAGCAATTATTCACCCGCATATTGCCAGACACAAAAAAATCGGTTCGGACGAGCATTTGTTCGGGAAAATGTTCGGCAATGTGCGCCAGGCTTTAGCTGCCATACCGGAGTAACCGCCGTACCGCACCGCCGTACCGCCGTACCGCCGTAGCTGCCGTACCGGTATAACGAGTATACACTGAGAAACGCACCGCGCGAGTGATCTATCATTCTATTCTCATTTTTTATTACGGCGATAAGAAAAGACAGAGTGTGTGATAAGAATGAGATACGAATGTGAATTGGATGTTTCAATAAACAAACATGATGAAGCAACGTTCAGTAACTATTTCACTTAGGTTTTTTTGAATGAGAATTACTTAGAGTAGACGAAGTATTTCCAGAGCACGACAATACTCTGTTGGAACTCGAGCTACAGCGCTCGCATGGAGAGTCGGGCGCACCTCCCAGAAGTACCATACAGTGATGCGTGAGCGGTGTGTGCGTGTGTGTGTACGTGTGTGTGTGTGTATGTGTGTGTGTGTGTGTGTGTGTGTGTGTGTGTGTGTGTGTGTGTGTGTGCGCGCGTGTGCGTGTGCGTCTGCGTGTGCGTGTGTGTGTGTTTGTGCGTGTGCGTGTGCGTGCGTGTGTGTGTGTGTGTGTGTGTCTGTCTGTGCGGGCGTGTGCACGTACATGGGTGTGTGTGTGCGTGTCTGTCTGCGCGAACGTGTGTACGTGCATGCAGCGGCGTAGCTAGGATTTTTTCAGCGGGGGGGGGGCTACTGGGGG